GCTTCTACTCCTCCAACACACCCACCTCTTGTACATATATTCCATAGATATATATATATTTATTTAACCATCATTTAGAAAAGGAGATTTGCAAATGCTGAACTATTTCGCATTTCTTTTGAATTTTTTGTAGCCATGATTCATGCACAACTCATGTTTGTGGATGGTACATGTGTGCTAACCGACGTCCCCAACGTCGCTTGTTTTTTAAATCTTAATTTTTCTTTAGAATTTGCTATAATTATACTGGCATCTCTGTTATATGTTAAGCATATACTAAATATATTTTTTAATTCCGTCATAGTATTAATTTCTCTTTTCACATTTTCATTCAAAATATTTTGCAAGTTTACTTAAGTCTTTTGCGTTTTCTCTTTTGAGTTCCTTTAAATATTGCTGTTTTATAGCTATTATTTTGGATGTGGAAGCTTTGCCACAATCCGATCGGCCTAGTTATTTACTGGTGCTCGAAAGCATGGAGAGAGCAGGGCAAGTTGTAAGTTGTTCTGTGCTCATGCAAGACCGTGGATTGCTTTCGGGTAGACAGTGCGGGCTGTTAACGATTGTTTACTGCATCCCTTGAAGTTCTAGGTTCTAATTCAGTCGTTGGGAGCTTGTCTTCTCAAGATTTTGCACTCAATTAATCAATTTAATGCCTGTAGTTTCCCTACTATGTCGGATGGATCGATTTTCTTTACATAAAGAATATAGTGAATTCACTTTTAGCTTGTTGTTCTAATATTTCCAATATATTGTTACGGTAATGTTTAAAGATCCCAAAAATGCAGTTCAGATCACTGTCGCTTTACGCGGAAGCACGAAAATCCAAGAAATAATGCACAAACTTTTTGTAGCATATGAGTTCCATGTTGTGTGAAGTTGTGTGCTTAAATGTTTGAATTTTCATTTCCAACTACAATATCACTAAATGATCTGGGACTTTACCGCTACAATGGCAAGTGAGAGTTGCAAATAAATACGCAAATTGCTGGATAACAAAACGCGCATGAATGGCCAAACAAACAGGCTGTACGCCAGGCAGACAACAAACCAAAACAGCATATGCCTACACATACATTCAAAGGCGCATAAGAATCTTATGTATTTATGTGTGTGCACAACCCGCTCCAGCGTGCATGTGCGTGTGCTATTGCCTGCCATTTGGCAAATAAAACGTAATAAATTTAGAAGCGCATAGAATTTGTGCAAACATCGGGTTATTTGATTATTGTATATGAGTGTGTGTGTATTTGTGTGCAAACGGTGTCAAGTACAAGACATTCCATTTGATAGAGACTAGACGACATTCGATGGAAAGGTCAACGCTTCGCACTTCTATTTCATAACTCCAACTCTGCTTTTTGCAGAGATGATTTTTTGACGCTTTAGGCGATATGATAACGGCAATTCTGATTTAACCACAAGTATTGCTTTTAATTAACGTAATAAGATGATATACAAATAGTTTAAATACGTGCTTTGATTTTCCTTGTGGATGACATTCCAAGTAGACAGCAAATTTCAATTTTCGTACTTGCTTGTATCGTAGTAGTTGCGGACTAGAACGTGCTCGCATCAAGTCTTGATGCTTTTTGCTGGGTAAATGAGTTTGTAAATACGCATTTGGCAGCGTATTCATATTTCGTTGCCGAAGCTCCAATTCAACGAGCAAACAATGCAATGCAAACATCAACAATGAAAGTATAAACAACTACAACAATTAGCAGTAGTGTCGACGGAATTAGCAACTGGTTCGCAGACGAACGGACTCACCGAAATGGACCAATGACCGAGCGCACATCAGCACAGACACACACACATATGCGCGCATGTGCCTCGTGCGTGTGCAATCGGTTGAGATCGCGCTGGTGTAGGCATTTAGGAATGCGCTTTGTGAATGAAGAGCGGCGAATAAATAATGCGGCGGACAAGGCGAATCTAACTAGAAAAAACTACAGTTACTACTTTGCAACAACACAAAAGCAACAACATATACATAAAATGAGAATTGCGGTAACAATGAAAATGAAGAAGACATCAAACAATAACAACAAAAGCGTGCAACAATTACAAAAATAATAAACACAAGCACAAACAACAACAGCGTTATTATGCCGACAATGAGCAGCACAAAGCTCAACAGTAACAGCAACAACAACAACAGCAACAATGGAAAGCATGTCAGCAGCGGAAGGACGTGGGTGTTTGTATTTGTGCATGTATGTGTGTGTTAGTTAGTATGAGTGAGTGTCTGCAGTAATGCAAAATGAATAAACTGCCTTCGAAATTGGTTGCGTATACGCCACAGTACATGGAGCGTAAAATGCCAGCAAATTAATGATAAGCAAGCGCACGTGCAGACATGTTTATGCAGAAAATATTGTTTTGCGCACACATTTACACAGCGTAAATAACACGAGCGGCAGCGGCAGTGCGCTCGCTGCCGCAGGTGCATGTGTGTGTGTGTGCGAGCATTATGGTTAAATAAATTGTTATTGCTCATGTAAGCGGAAGCGTATGAAAGTAATTGGCAATGAAAACAAGATCTTTTGGGTGTTGAGCGAAAGTGAAATGAAATATTTTTTACACTTCGCTGCGGCGTTACAATTATGCTCGAGGATGAGAGCGTGTGCGTATAGACGGTGCGCGCGGCAGAAACGTATATACTATTTGCATTTTTAATTTGATTTAAAAGAGTTATTAAATTCAGAATTCTTTATTACAAAATTACAAAATTTTCTGTACAACAATTTTAATATGGAAAACAGTTATGCTACAGATGTTCAGCAACGAAGTGTAAATTTATGATGCAAAATTAATTTATTCAATTAAATTAAATTTCAATTCACTTATATTATGTCACTTACGCAACAACTGTCATTTTCACTTGGCAATTGTTTCAGATAATGAATTAATTAATTAAAAAAAAAAAAATTGTTGCAGCGTAAAAGCAAAAAACATAAAATATTCAAATCAAGAGCTCATCCCGATTAAGTCTCCCAACTGCAGACCAATTGTGTTAAATTCTCGTTCTTCTTAAAAGTTCGGGTCTATTTCAGGCAGCGATTTCTATACTAACTGGATCCTCCTACTATTTAATTAGTAATCCATTATCCAAAAACTACTAATTTCTTTTGCCTTATGCCCTTAAACAATTTATTATCACATCTTTTTGAAATGTAAAAAGAGTAAAAGAGTAAAGCAATCAACTTCGAAATCAGACCGGGAGAATTTTTATTTTTTGCATATATGAAATTATTTGTAAAAATATTGCAGAGTCATTGCGATTAAATCAGCGTCGAGGATGCACAATGGCTTAGTAAACATATACTTACACATATGCATTAAATACACACATGTATGTGAGACGCAGCGGGACGCTGAATGGCAATGTCAATAATGTAGCAATTGCAAACGAGCTTCCCCACACACACATACAGACATATGCAAATACACACGCGAATGCGTTGATCTGTTGCCACTTGCATTTATTTATATATGTATGTGGTAACGTGTGTATGTGTGTGTGAGCACAGATAGGCAATCAGTAATTGGATATTGTCCGTTAACATGACACGCAAACACATCGTCAGCACACACACACGCGCGCACACTGATACAAGTAAATGACATTTCGCATTCACCGATGCGTTTACATGCTTTCGGGGAATATCCGTGCGCACTGCTCCACGGACGGGTGTCGGCGGCAGCGGTGGCTTCGGTGGCAAAGCGCCACATTTCAACTTTACTTTTTTCAACTCGCTGGCCAATTTGTCAGTTTAACAATTATCATTGCCACTGTTGTTGCTGCAACTGATAGCGTTGTTGTTGTTGTTGCCATTTTTGTGACAGTTTTCGCGCTGCTGCAACTGTTTCATTTTCATTTCGCGCTGTTTCTCTTTGCTACATTTTTTGCACTTCGCATTGTTATTGTTTACAATTCTCATATTGTTGTTGCCATTTGCCACTTTCGTTTAATTCAATATATTGTAAGTATGTGATTGGCTTTTATTTTCTCGCTCATCCCTCGTTTTAAAATCCCGATTCAGTTTGCAAGTTAATTGATCGATCGTCTGTGACCGACAGTTGCCACAAACAACAAAAACAACGTCGCATACGTGCACGCGTGAGTTGCGTTGTGTGTCACAGCGTATACGTAACATAGCACACAAAGTTACAAGTTCAAGTCCTCACCGTTTTTAAGGGTAAAACAAATATTTCCAATGAAGTTTATAACGGGTGTTCTTAAGGCACATACTTTGGAAAACTTTTTGAAATCAGGTGAATTTTGATAATGTCAATCGTCAAAAAATGAACACTGCCCTGGAGAGCGATTGTTTCCGTAAAAGTGCTCAGTATCCTGAGTGTGAATTTCGGGGTTTCGATTTCAGCTTTATCAAATGTGTTTAGCCCTGCCTTGAGATATTTATATGTGACAGGATTAAGTATGAATGGAATGGCATGGAAACCTTATAATATATTATTATTTTGTGAGTGATGTAAATATAGATTGAAAGAGGTTTCTGCCGAACAACTACTTCTTTGAAACTTAGAAGCATACTTGTATAACAATTTTTGGGTTACTGGATTATGATGTTTGAAGAAGATGAATAAATTTCTGGTTGCTCTCAAGTTTTACACTGGAAATGAAAAGTAGAAAAGATTGCTACGAGCATTGATAATCATGAAATTTGAGAGTCGCTTTAACCGAACCTTTTATTCAAAATCAACTGTTTTTTTAACTCCACATCAATTTCGACTTCATTATATGTTGCTCTCGATTGGTATTGGTTCAGTATGTAGCGTTCTAAGCTAAACTCGTATGTTTCATTGCATTTTTCAAAGTTTTTGTCTTCATTTCCGTTTACCTGTTTATCGCTTTATTCACACTCATTTGTCCAATCGTCTGCGAGACGCGTAGTTTTCTAACATACAAGTATGTTATATTACATATTAAGTAATTTAGCTTTAATTTTTTTGTGATTTGCTCGACAATTTAGGCGCAATGGAGCCGCCGGCACATCCTCACAACCGCTACGTCCCAACGAGGATGGCAGCCACCACCTGCAGGAGTACACATACAAGAAGATAACCGCCTGCGATGTCTGCTCCCAAATATTAAGAGGTAAGTCATGACGCATGCGCATATATAAAACACCACCACCGTTAATTATTCTAAAGCACACCTCTCGATCTTTTTGGCACAGGTCACACACGTCAGGGATTACGCTGCCGCATCTGCAAACTGAACGCTCATGGCGACTGCGCATCTCAACTGCCCCGCTGCCAGCCGAAGCAGAAGCTACTGCGGCGACAGAAGAGCACATCGGAGCTGGAGAACCGCGTCGATGTCGAGGAAGAAAGTGAGTTCTGAACGTTGCCAATGTTGATTGCCGAAACATCCACTGTTATTGTTGCACTAATATTTGCTTAACCGTAGCGGGGGTAATCAAAGGGCGGTTTGTTGTTGTACGAAAAACAGTATATTTGTGAATGAGTTGACAAAAGCTGATACAACAATAACAACTAAACGAGCGAGAAAAAAAGTACAGAGCTTATGCTCACTTGGGGTTCCCGAATTAGAGTTAATAGGCGGCGCAGTTTTCTCTTGAAGGTTCAGGGCTGTATCACATAGAGCTTCATAGTTTTTCACAGAAAGTTACGAATATTTTCTGACTTCTGCAGATATTTTCCAAAACATTATTTACACAAAACACTAATTTTTTGCAGATTACCTCGATTTTTTTTTTACCTCGAACTTTGCAACGTCTCTTTTCTTTTGTTTTCTTTTTAATATATTAATCGGCAAATATTCTTAAAAATACAACTCTCCCCAAGTTTAACCTAATTTATAGCTTAGCTTCTGAAATTAGCTTGTTAGAAACTCTACTACTTAGCTGAGTGCCCTGTAACGATATCCAAACCCCACTTTTATGTTACTTTCCAAATTATGTGTGCACATCAAATTGTAGGTTAGAATTACGTTTTCTGGAAAGTTTATCGAAAGAAGACAAAATGAAGTGCCCGTAAGAATAAGTAAACAACGAAAATTTGCGGCCGTCAACAAATAACAGAGTGTGCCTTAGATCTGGAGCTGCAGACATACATGTTCGTAATGATTAAATTTATGCAACAACTAAGATTAGTCTACCACCACGCCTATATTAACTTACTTTCTATTTATTGGCTAATTAATTATTTTGAATACTAAATTCTCATATTTCACATCTAATATTAGTAACTAAACGCAAGTCTGGGTCTAACCAGTCTAGAGCTTAAATATCAGTTTTTCGAAAACCACATTTACTGAGTGGTGTAGGCTAGGTAAAGGAGTTGTAGGGACTATTTTCTCTCCACTTTTATTTTCTCTCCTAAATAGATGAAAGTTTGGAAAAAACGTAGAACAAGGTTGTAGTAGATTATGGGAGCACCAGCCTTTGGAGGTACTAGAATATTAAAGCGCCAAAAACTTGAGCCAAGGTTCCTGTACTCTTTGTATGTGTAGAATTACTGCCATTCCAAACTCACACACATTCACTTAACAAGGAACTTACAATCAGATTTATCAAGTTCATACTCATTTGAATATTTACTCAGGCAATTCTTTAATCGAAAGACACTCAGGGCCTTAATTGCATTTGACATTTTTCCCATCGATGCACTTATGAAATTTGCATCGCCTGCAACTAACGAAATGCTCTCCCCTCTCTCTAAGGGTTTCCTTTCAATTTGCCTTGTCATATGCCGGCAATATTTGACGTTACATCGGCTCAACAGCCAGGATGGCAAGCGAAAGAAAGAAAAACAAACGGAAAAAATATGAATTTCTAAGGCATTGTCTTGCAGCAGAGCAAACTTGCCACGCAGCCGGCGCGAGGCGAAAGCAAGTGATTTCTCTCATTGTTTACCCAGCCACATGTACTTGCAATAAGAAACAATCGGAATCCAATATCTTCCTTATTTTTTTTCCAAAGACAACTTTGAGCAATTGCAATTTCATATTGCAACATTATTTGTTTTGCCTCCTTCGCTCCCTACTTTGTTGTGTGCTTTTGATACAACTTTCTCGCTTTTCTTTCGCCCTTTCTTATTTGCATTATAATTGTAAAAGATGAGGCTAGCCTAAGAATTTCCCCGCACAAAACACATTCAAGTGCCGGATTGATTGCTGAGCATTTACCCATGCAATAGATGGTGCGGGAGGGAGCACGGGTGGTGTGGGGTGCATTCAATCGGCAAAAGCTCATTTCCATCGAATTCTTTTTGAGCGCCTTCTTACTTTGTTTAAGTGCCATTAAAGAAATTGCATTGCCCACACTCAGTGGCAGAGGTAGAATTGTGGAAAACAACAACACCAGTAACAATAGGTTTCTTTTGAGTTTGAGATATAGAAACGTTTTTTTTTAAACATATTTTATGCAAATATTGCTTTTAAGACTACAGGCCTCTAATCTAAGCAAGTATTCGATTCGAGAGGCTCTTTGTGTTAAGCAGAGATTTCAGGCGCAACACCAGAAGCCACAAAAGGGACTTTGATTCGATTGTTAAGCTCTCCCTCCCTTCAACTTTGATTCAGTTTCGTTGCATCACCTTTGTCGAATCGCCAATTGGATGCTCAAACACTTCCCTTCAACCATTTCACACTCGACATAATGCTAGATAAGTATGTCTGTTAGCAGAGGGTTAGCGGCGTGAGTTTTGATGAGCAGACAAATCAATTGTTCAATTGTGACAATCTGATTTGCTGCTGATTGACGCTTTTGAGCGCTTGGCGGCACGGCAGCCTTGCAACGCAAGAAACTAAGTTTCCTTTTGTGCAAGATGCGGAAGAAGGTGGAAACTGTGAGCTCGGTCTGCTCGACCGAGAAGTTATATTACACTTGGCAGCCAATTTGAGCGCAAATACTTGAATAAAAGCGCAGAAAAAATTCATGTTCGTAAAATATTTTATTCGGAGTCACTGCGCTGCCAAACTTTCTGTAAATACTTAGGAGCAAAATGTTGAAATTGGATTTCGAAAAACATCGAAAGTTGCATGTTTGTAGGAGTGGTTATAGAATCCAAGGAAATTCTTGCACAAAAATATATATCTTACAGTTATACTCAAAACATACACTTGCATATTTTGTCTCGTTTCTTATTCTGCTTTATTTTCGGTTGAATTGATTACAAACCTCATGCACGACCTGTTTTCTTAAAAACTTAACTCAATATTGGAAAATAAAACAAAAAACGAATGATTTAAGCGATCTTCCAAAAAAAATGCCGTACAAAATATGGATAAGTAGAATTTGGTTTATTTGAAACAATTTGATGGCGAACTTAATGAAAATCCATATCCATTAGAATAGATGGCGAAAATTATTAACATTTTTATATTATATATATTGTATACATTACATTATATATATTGTTTGTGTAAATTGTCGGTAAAATTGTCGGTGTGATAAAGCCATAAAAATATCACGGAAACAGCGGCAAATGCTACTGGAGCCATACCAGGTCACTTAAATCGTTCGTAATCTTCCCGGCAAATTGCCTATAATACACGCAATATTAGACGTATGACATTTCCGTTAAAAAAAAAAATACTAAGCCTAACCCGTGTGAAACTAAACTAAGTACAAAATTCCATCAATTGAAAAATTTAAGGACCTGCTGAGGACGGCATAAGGGCGCCAACGCCGCCACCGCCACTCGCGCTACAACCAAAGACACCACAGCAACAACAGCAAATACTGGCCGACGAAGAGAATGCGTTGCCGGCGTCGCCCAATGCAAATCAAACAATCGGAAATCGAAAATTCCGCCAGAAAGTGCCGTTCATCGATCGCATAGCGCAATTAGGTATACGAATGAAAATCAGCAAATTACAAAACAAAAAAAAAAAAAAAAAAATTAGATGAATACACAGCAAAGCATAACGTGCATAAAACGAGAATAATACTTTATCATACTAATTATTATTGCAGAGTAATTTGCTTTGTTTTGATTGCGAACATCCGTAGGTGCTGCATTCACATACACAAACAGAGTTGATTGGCTCACTGAATGTCAAATTTCCAAAACCCAAATTATGACTAAAGCAACACTCAATTATCGCTATATATACATATATACTCATATATTTAAATAAATATTCATGAGATGTAATCGTGCAAATGTACACTAAAAACACGAAGTTGCAACGAAAGCAAAAGGCTAAAATAAAATGCAACCGTGTGCTTGCTTTAGTTGGCGCATATAGATATATATATAAGCATATGTAAATTATATAATTTCAAGTTTATGTTTAAATGTTTTGTCATAGTTTTCGAGCTTTAGTTTCCAAATCGATAAATAATCCAATAGTTTTGGTCCGAATTTATTAAAGTCTAGTCTGCAGTGTTTCTTAGATTGGCATAGCATGTCTTATTGAAATTAATCGCCAGTATGTCATCCAAATTTTATTAAAATTGCGCTCATACAACCAACTCATTTCATAATCATGGCACTCGGGCTGGACATATATATATATATGTATATCTATATCTATATACACGTAGTACCACACGGCGCCACCCAGTAGAAAAGAAGCCACCAGCGATCAACAGTCAACTGAGCGACTGACTGATCTTACGACCTCAAAGTTGATTATAAAGTACTACGACTTATTTGTAATCCTCTCGCTTTTGAAATACCTGTTTGGTTTTGTCAAGATTATTCAAACCGAAATGAAATGAAAAATCAAATTTTTTTTTTTTTAAATTGTTTCAATACTATAGATGGTCTTCGACTATAACTTCTTCATTTAAATTGCATTCATTTCACCTTTTTTCACACACAAATGACGTAAGCAAATAATACTGGCTGTCTTTTCTACTGGCCGCTGTGCCAATATTTGTTTTCTTTATTGTATTTAAAAGAAGGCATTTAGTTTCACTAATTTTATTGTTGTTTAATCATATAAAATACAACAAACACAAACACGGAACAAAAACAGAACCGAATAAGACGAAAACTCGCCGAGATGAAAACCGAAACCAATCAAAGCGCTTCTACTTTTGGCTCTGACAGCTTTATTTGAGAAAACTTTTTTAATTCGATTAATAACACTGCGCAGCTGCAAAAGTGTTTTGGTTCGTCGGTTCATTCAGTACACCAACACAATCAACACAATCCTAGGAGCACTCTGCCAGGCACAACTTTGTAGTGTTTTGATTAGTTGATCATTAGAAGTGTTTCCTTAATTACTAGCATTTCTTTTATCATAACGACGTAGAACAATTTCATGTAGCCGATCGAGAGAGAAAAGATGAGAGCGATGAATTAGAGTACTCAGTTCTAAGGTCTATATAGAAACTCATCGAACATGCCTCTTGAT